ACCAAAAAAAAAAAAAAAAGGAAATGATTATATAGGAGGTAAGTGTGCCATTAGCCTTCCCCAAATTAAAATATTGACCGATTAACCCAACATGATTTAACTGACATTCATCCAACAAGCCAATCAGAGCTATTCTTGATCAAATACAAATTCTACAATCCTTAATCGGACGTTTGAATTGCATATTTTGAAGAAATTTGATTGAATTAAAATGTTTGAATTCTATTGACTATTCATTCTCTCGTTTGGTTTATTTTTTTCCACCGAAAGTAATCTTTAAAATCCTATATATTTCACAAAATAAAAAAATTTAACATTTTTCTTTACAACTTTATGATATTTTGATAAAATGTAATTCTCTATTTTCATAATACAAAATATGCCTTAACCAAATATACCATAATCTCATAAAACCTAATATGACCATCGTCAACCACCTCCCGACCACTGTATCTGAATCATCGCCGCCTGAACCAAACGTCATCTCGAAATTTTGTGTAAAATGTTATTCTATTACTTTTTTTATTGATTTAAAAAGATATAATAAAAATTAATGTTCAAAAAGGTACCTGTGACCCAAAAAAGGTTGCGATAGGTTTTATATAAGTTCTTAATTTGATGAGTTGAAAACGATGTAACGAGAAAAAAAGATGGATTCTTATTACTTATCCCATTGAAGATGATTTGAAAGATGTGGTTTCAATCATTCAGAATCACATATATGCCTCTTGATAGAATGCCATTTTCTTCCATTATGACTGTAGGACCAGTAATCATGAACATTCTAGAAGGTGACATATATCATATGGTACAATATGTATAAACTCACTAAATCATATTTACATAAATACAGATATGTTGTTCAACATTGAATAATTCAAACTTTTCTACTCGTATCAAGTCAATTAAACGAGCGAATCTTCAAATCCTGTAATGGTCACTATCGGTTAATAGGAAAGGACTATGTAACAAGCGATAACTAACGAGTGTATCCAAAAATCAAACCCGAGTGTCGACAGTCATACGTCATTGAATGCGATTTTCGGGTTTTCAAAGAAATACATTACTTGGGTATTAAAAGATGTGGTCATTATAAATGCACAACTGCAAGTATGTGAAACACCAATATTCAAATGGCATGGCCCTACGTTACACATCACAAAAAACGACCTAATAACAACTTTAATTCTTCACATGGGAAGTTTTTCAAGTTTCCCATTAAAAACAGAATCAGACCAAATGAACCCAGTATATCTCATTTTGAAGTGGGGCATAGGTAAAGCCAGAGGCGAACCTAGACAGTTTTTCAAGTGGCGACACCATTTGAATACAAGAACGGAGCTTTGAATATGTTTTTACAGATCATCATTGGTCTGTTGGTTTCTTGCTTGCTTTTTATATGAGAGGTTTCCTGTGTTCGAGTCTTCTATCCTTTGTTTTTCCTTTAGAAACAAAATAAACCTGAAACTAAAAGCTAAAAACTAAGAAAATGATACAAATGGGATTCAAACCAGCGCCTAGATGGGGATAAAAGACCATGCAAACCAACTCTACCAAGAGAAACTTGTGTTATTATTGTAGTTTCAAGGAATATACGGTTGCACCAAACAAAATAATATGATTACACCTTCCACAACTCTAAGAATTTAGAATATGACAGAGGAACGAAGTGGTGGCCCGTAGGGGTGCTCAAAAACCCGATCAACCCGACCAACCCGATCAACCCAACCCAACCCAACGTAAAATAACCCAACCCGAAGCAACCCGATGTCTAATCGAGTTGTAAAATTGTTAAACCGTAGGTATTGGGTTGATATTGGGTTRRTATTWTTTGAACCCAACCCAACCCGATGAACCCGATGAACTCGATATCCTTTTATTTCTTAGATTTAATATGATTGATGAATTTCTATTAATATATACATTAGACAATTACACTATTATGTATGCTTTTCATATACACATATTTTCAATCTATTCATATCTCTATATAACTCATTCAATAACTGTTTCAGTAACTGTGAACATATATATGTAAATTGAGAAAATTAACTGAATGTGATATACGTAAGAAATATGAATAAGTTGTATCAAATGGTTGATGATGAAAAATAAAGTATGAGTAGAGAAATAACATATTCAAGGTTAGAAGAATATTTTAATATACTAAAGTATCAACCCGACCAACCCGTACGGGTTGGGTTGGGTTGGGTTGCACTTTGGTTTGGGTTGGGTTGGGTTAAGATTTTTCCAAACCATAAGCATTGGGTTGGGTTGTTCAAATGTCTTCAACCCGATCAACCCAACCCATGAGCACCCCTAGTGGCCCGTGCCACCATATGCACCATAGCGGGTCAGCCCCTGGGTATGGGGATGAAATGTAAGCAGATTTTGTCCTCTATCCAAAAGAGTAGAGCGACTAAAGATCCCCAACTTGCAAAAGGAAGTATATGACAAAGTCAAATTCTCAGTTTTCCCTCAAAAGACATCAAATTTCTTGGTAGAATTTCAGGGTAAGAAATCCTTTCAGGATACTAATCTTTTCTCCTATTTCATGCCCAGATTGTAGAACCCATCTTCCTTCCATTCAATTTAGAGGTGGGAATTTGCTTAATCCTTCATCTCATGTCGATGAGATAAAAGAACCCACAAATATTTGTGGGACAGGGAATCGATATTTAACATGTCGATTCAGGGAAAATATCTGTTTGATCATCAAATTATGAAGCAAATATTCGCCTAACAGTCCTATTTTGAGCCAAAACAAACTGGACCTACCAATTTGTCGTTCTAAAATGATATTATGTTAGTTCACAAATAGAGTCGTCTTCTATAAGACCGAATGCTTACCCCACCTAGTGACGGGGAATATTAGTTTTTGGTCAGGGAGTAAACTAAACCAAATGAACCCGGTAGTACCTCACTCAAAAGTAAGGTCTGGAGGGGTTTGATGTAATATGTATGCAGGCATGTTCCTTACCCCAAAGTGTAGAACAGACGTTTCTGTGAAGACCCCCAACTTGTCAAGAGAGTAAAACTTTGGGTACACGGAAAGGACTGGAAGAGAGACAAATGGATGGGCAAGAGTGAGGTAGGCAGGTGAGAGAATTGTAGAAGGTTTTAGGGTTTTAATTTGACATGGGTGGTTTAATAATTTACTAATTTTGCCACTATCTCCTTGAACTTTTGTTCCACCTGTGTTGGTGGGACCAAAAAAAACATTTTTATCCCACTCAATCCTGTCTTGTCCCATTTTAATTTCGTGCCAAAACGTAGGACAACAAGTTTCTGTTCTATTATGTCCAGCGTACCAAACTCACAACGGCCCAATAAACAAATTTAATACTAGACAACCTGACTTGTTTACTTACAAGTACAAAGGCGAAACAAGTTTCCAAGATTTCGTTCTATCTCCTGTAGGGTTTGAATTACAAGAAGTTCGAAAAATGAAATTGACAATCACATAGCATGGAACAAATATTACTGTTATCTGTTACATAATGAACACTAAAGAAATATGAATCAAGGAAAAGAGCAATGAAAAAAATGCAGATAAACGTAGAACATGTGTAAGATAACTTGAAAAATGTTGTCCTTCAAATGGTATTTTTTGATGCTCATTTCATTATGTTCTCAAATAGATGCGTAACTCGCAAAAGTACAAAGATACACTTACAAGTAAATTGGGAAACATGGGTCGCGGTGGTTCTTCAGATATCTTCCTTCAGGCAGGCATGCTCCATGCTCCCTTGTCACCCGTTATGGGATACCTGTGCAATAAACCAAACCAAACCAAGAATCATACATAGAGCAGGGTCTGGGGAGGGAAGGATGTACGCAAACCTTACCTCTACCTCGAGGCTTGAAGAGTAGAGAGGCTGTTTCTATGAAGATCCCCACCTCGTAAAAAGGTTTAGAACAAAGGATTTTGCGAGAATATTTTGGTTATAGAAGTTCTGACAAAAAGTTTGAAAGAGAGGAAAGAGGTAAAAAAATGCATTGATAGAAAAGCAGGTTAGGAAAGTGGAAGAAGAAATAAGAATAAAGAATAATAAAGCACGCATGGACATGCATATGAGAAGGTACAAACCACTAAACTAATGAAGAGTCTATGCACAATTTCGAAGTTTTCTAATTACCATCAAGATTTATATGCTAGATCAATGTTCTATAATCAAGAACAAAGAGAATGCTGATGAGCATACTAATAATGGCTGCACATCAGAGTTTCTAATTTTAAGTGGATTTTTTTCTGGGGAAGGGGTTGTACTAAAATTCTACACAAACCTAATAAGTCTAAACTTCTGGAAATTACCTCATACCGACAACAGATTCTAACTTTGGAGATGCACATGCCAACTTTCAATGAGATCCTTTTCCTCCTCGAATGCTGGCCTCAGAAACTTGTGCTAAAGTCTATATTTGGCCATTAAAAGAACCTGATCAACATTAAAAACAACAAATTAGAAATGTTAAAACCATATAACCTCCTGATAAAAATTAAGATCAAATGCAGATAAGAAATATTAAGCAAAATGAACCAGAAAGCCATAAAAGCATCCATGTTCAAAATAAACAAGAATGCCCAAAAGCAATATAAATTATCCTGGTCCAACTATCTAAGAAGTTCCATGACGAAATGCACCCTATAAGCTTGCAATATTTGGCCAATATTGTAAAAAGATAAATAAACTGTGATTATATCACATTGATATTTATAGAAGATGCAAATTACAGATTGTGTCAAATGCCCTTCAAAACTTAAGCCATCTCTTCTCCTTTTCTTTGTTGGCAACTGCGTTAGAAGCCGATGCATGAGCAGCTTCAACCTCCGCCAATGTTTTCTGAGTCTCATGGAGCTTCCTAAGAGCTGCATCATAAACCACCTTTTCTTTCTTGTTTCGGCTTGCCATTTCTTCCAACTTTTGAACTCTTGCCCGTAACTCCTTCACCTCATCATCAAAGGCAACCAGAGCACGCCTTTCGCCATTCTTTCCCGCCTGAAATTCTTTCTTTTGCTGTTTCTTGCCTGACCCAGATTTCAAGGCTTCATCATGCATGGCTAACTGTGTGTTTATAAGACTAAAAATATCAGAGCTTGGTTCTTCTTGTTGTTTTGCAGCCCTAACGGCTGCTGCAAACTTCTTATCACGTTTTCTCTTCCCACCTCTGCTTCGTTTTTTCTCTTGGGTATCTCTGTTTTCAACAGATTCTAGAGCATGATCAAGAGATTGCTTCGGAGGTAGTACTTTCACAGAGATGGGATCAATTCTTCCCTGTCCTTTCAAGCCTAAACCCATCCCTTCACGAAAACCCATGTTGGCCATCATCTTAGAAGCGATACCCCGAGTGTGATTCTCCCACTTTGCAAAAATGGCAGTTTCAGTTTGTATGCCTCTCTGGAGGTTTGAACTACCAAGAAATCCAATACCTTCAGAGCTGTCCTCTATTTCATAGTCAGTAGGATCATAATGATCCGATTCTGAATATGAATCATCACTGTCATCTTCATCACTCATCTGGGCATATTCAGACAAAGATATAGATTCATTTCCGACATTTAAAGAGCTACCATCATCTCGGAAAACAACCCGGCCTAATTTGAGCTTGTCATCCCATGACTCAAGTTCAGCTTCCCGCCAAATTCCAGTTTTACTGTCTGAGGTAGCCCACACAGTGGACCCCACCAATGACTGATTCCAGATTGTGGGATTATACTTTTTCAGTGATGATAAAGGTAGATCAATTCCTGATTCAAAATAAGACAATACAAAGAAGTATTCAGCACCAAGAGAATAATAGCATACGAGGCGACAAAACCATTCTGAAGGTCTACCAATTAGAACTACAATAAGAGAATATACATACCATGTGATGAGCGGCACTTCATACCAAATCGACACCGTTGCTGTAGGAAAAACTTGCAAACCTGCATTTAGGTGGTGTAGCATTAATCGGTTAATACAGGTAACAGATAGTCAACCCTTCATTTATTAGAACAAAGTGGCACAAATATTCAAAAAATAAAAGTTTGGTACCAATATAAAGACAAGATAGGTGTGCAGCGCATCAGAATCTCAATTCTTCAATAAAAGAAATATTATAATACATCGTCATCTAAAAGCTAATTCAGTTGTGCAGATACATTCAATGATCGGTATCTTCATCTTCTCCGGATATGTCCTCATTCAGGCTAGCATCATCAAACCTGGTCATCTCATTTTCCTGTTGGTTTCAGTCCATCAGTTAAGCATTTCACATTCAGTGGTTCGTTAGTTAGGTTTTGGTTCATCATTTCCAGATTCGGTGGTTCTTCAATTAGATTTTGGCGACTGGGGTCCGCTTCTGTTTCAGATCCAGAGGTTAGCAATGGTGGTGGTGAGATGGTCGTGTAGCATTGTGGCACCATTATTTTTGCTTCGCAGGACTCTTTTGGTCGCTTTCTTTGTCATTGTGGGATACATTTCCAGACCAGTGGTTTCTCAGTCAGGTCGGGTTTCAGTTGTATCACATATGTGGTTTGCGTCTCATACTGTCTCGGTATGCAGGCATTCAATTTAATGAAAAAAATAGACTGTTTTGTAAATAAAAAAATCCAATCTACAAGCTAACTTAATTGTGCAGATACATTCAAGACTAAGGGGCTGTTTGGTTGGTTTTCCATTAAGTCTTGTATGGATGATGCTTTCTGTGTGGATTAATCTGTCTATATAGATTGGGAAGGTTTTTGTTTGGGAGGGTTTTCTCTTAGATGGAAGGAGCTTGTTTTAAATTGGGAGGGACAGGTTTGGAAAAAACTTCGCTCTCTGCATAAAGCTTCCCCTTAGAAGCTTACTGAATAAGTCACTTTTAATATCATTAAGCCACCATCAAACAGTCATGTATAGCTGACCAAATAAGCTGTGAGTCTCATTAAGCTGCTAACAAAAGGCCCTAAGAACAAATACTGTTGCAGTCTAAGTTGTGCGTAGGCACCATGCATCAAGATGCTCATCACCAATTAACAATGCAGAGAAGACTTATCTAGAAACTGGGCAGTCCTATCACTTAACAAAAAGCTTCAGATCATTTCATTTGTACAAAGAGGTAATACAGTCTGATCAAGCAATAGAACATTTCACCAATGCTGCATTTAGAATACAAAAACAATGGGCCACATGCCAAAGTTTCAGTTGGATAAGAGAAAGAAATTGGAAGAGAGCCATTCATTCTGGGTAAGATGTGAGACTGGACTGCAAAAATATGAGAAATATTTTGATCATGACTGGAGACTGCCATCAACAAACTAGGGCCCATATGTGAGCACCAGCTGCTGATTAGTAACACTAATAAGAGGCCATTTAACCAAAAACTTACCGAGTAAGCGCTTACCACTAAGAGTCAACATTCTAACTTACTTTACCGGGTAAGATTGTAGTCCGTCAAGACGGTATCATATGCAACAATTTATCCGGTAAGCACTTATGGGTAAGACTATCCATACTTATTATTGCTCTCAGCGGGTAAGAATCTCAGCCCTTGCCATGTTGTTTGATAAAGTAAATGACCCGGTAAGTGCTTATTCGGGTAAGCGTTTAGCAAACGGTCCCTAAGTTAATATTTGTATATTGGACCCTATAGAGGTTGTTTCTCCAAAAACATGGAGCTTATTGAGAATATCATTAGAACACGCCTAAAGACAATATGCTCACAATTTCCGGATATTACATTGGGATAATCAGAAACTTGGAAGCTTCTGAAACACTACCACACCTACTCTATCGTTTACACATATTTCGCTACTTCTCCTTTTACCCCATCCTACAGTTTTTTATGGAGTTATTCTCCACCTACCCTCATTGCTTGGAGGAAACATTTATTTCTGTAAAATCGAGTTTAAAAAAGTCAACCTCAGGATTTGCGAATGCTATAAAACGCTGGCAGAAAAGTAGTGTTATAAAAAGGTATGTTACAGTGTTGGCCAGATTCGTACTAAGAGGGAGAGAACTAAACGCACCAGCTGGTTCTCTGATGTTGGAGTGAGGAAAGAAACTTTTGCCCCAGTAGAACCTTCCATTGCAACAATCAAACCGTCATACCATCGTCCATCAGAGTGGCGAAATCTACATTTTGATCCAACAGAATATTCCTTCAGCGGTTCCACTTCTGCATCCTTGGAATCAAGAAGATCTTGATTCACATCCTCAGCTTCCTCCAACGGTTCCACTTCTACATCTTTGGAAGCAAGAGAATCTTGATTCACCCCCTTAGCACCATCTTTTGCCATCTGTAGAGAAAAATCAACTTCTTGCAACAACCTAGCCCGTTTAAGTACAAAGAGCCCCTCTTCTGCATCTTTGATAGCTTGAAGAAGCTCTGAGTGAACCTGATTAACGAAATAAAAACAATTAGCAATTCAGAAGAAACCGCATGCAACTAGAAACAAATGATAAAAGGACATCCGGCTATTGGCGTTTTATCTGCATCTTCCCGACCGGAAGGGCTTCGCTTTGTTTGGGAACCAAGTAATCCTCTGTTATTTCTCCAATTACCATAGAAGAAACTAAATTTTTAGGTTAATTCCACTTTACCTTTCTTAAGAGCAACTGTAAGTTACAGGATTATATTACACTCTAAATCGTCAATGTTGCTCTTTTGCCCCTGGTAAATTTACTGGGCCATACCCATTGATGGATTTGAGTCATTACCTCTAGCTTATCATGCAGAAGTCCCAATCACTTGGAAAACCTCAACTAGGCATTTCTTTTGTTATTGTTGATAAAAGAAATGGGAGTGAAGCATGTGGGAGGATGAACAAAATATAGCATGGCAAGCTAGTTCACATAATTCTGTAATTTTCCCAACAAAAAACTCATGTTAGGCGACATGATTTTTTCATGACGTTGGTATGACTATTTGCTTGTAACAGTTCCTCTTTTTTCTTATCAAATATGACATCTATCATAGGAATGTCAAAAAAACAAAAATTATCCACCAAGTTTAAGATGGAAACAAATATCTTGTAGTGCAAAACTCATGTTCACAAGTAAGGCACACCCAGACAACGTCATAAAATCCAAGCATATATATATATATATATATATATATATAAACAAAAAAAAAACGAACTTCGTTTTTTATCATAATAATGAACACATGCACACATTGAGTTGAGCAACGAGAGATACAAAAAAAGCACTAGTGTTTTGATTAAAAAGAGATGCTGCTGGTAGGCAAACCTACAATCTTAACCAATTGTGAGATGATACAAGTGGTAGTTACTCATATCATTGTGTCCAGCGTCAGTAAGAATGATAATTAACAAGAACTCAACATAACACAGTCTCATCTAGTTGAATGCTAGAAAAATGGCGAGGTTTTAATAAAGAACTCAATATTCTAATAGAAGTGTTTCAATTGGAATGGGGGTTCTATAACCACATTTCAGGAACCCAACAACATCACTAGTTGGAGTTCTTCCAAGCACGGTGGATGTGACAACTGAACTTGGGTATTTATAATATCTATGTCAATGTGATAACCACAATGATGTATGCCGATTAAAAGAAATGAATTTTACAAATTGTATAAAAAATACTGGCAATCGCATCAAGCATATGTAGTGAGTAATAATAAAATAATTAACAACAATATATGAAAATCAAGTGATATATGTGCGAGGATGAATTAGTCCAAAATAGGGTTGATAACATTACCTCTAAATCTTCCACGCTTAATTTTTGGACCCTCCACCTCACACCCAAATCCATCTATTTAAACCCACATCCCGGTAAATTTCAGAGTTTTAGTTCGTTCACAAGTTAGAAATCAGAGGAGGATTGAGGTTTATAGTGTTTATTGTTGGAAAATAAGATCAACGTGAGCAAATGAAGGTCAAGCCAAGAACATAAACAATCATTTTTGCATGCACAGTGAGTTGCTGATGTTCTTGACTCCCAACACATTTGAATATTCATATATTTGATACCCATGTATACTACAAACTCATTAAAACACTAGAAAACATTTGTATGCTATGTTTTGTTGGATTAAGTGTGTAGTGTGTTATAAGTTTATAGTATACATGGGTATCAAAGAGATGAATATTCAAATGCGCAGGGGAGTCAAAAACCTCAACAACTCACCGTGCACGCAAAAATGATTGGTTATGTTATTGACTTGACTTCCATTTTGAAGCTCCCGTTGACCTTATTCTCCAACAATAAACACTATAAACCTCAAATATGTTGTATAACTTATTAAACTAGAAGAATAGCAAAGTGATTTGGCGTTCATGCTTTAATTTGATGGTTGATTTAGAAATTAATTTCTTCTTTCACGCTCCAACAATCTTCTTTAGGAAGACGCTACCTCTCAACCCTCAAATGATTTCTAAGTTGTAAAAGAACTAAAACTCTCAAATTAATAGGGAATCATGTGGGTTTAAATAGATGGAATTGGGTGTCAGGTAGAGGGTCCAAGTATTAAATGTGAAAGATTTATAGGTAACTTAATCAACCCTATTTTAGACTATGGTTGCCACACTAATCCACCCTGACACATGTATCACTTTATTTTTATATATTGATTTTATTTATTCAAATATTTTATTATTACCTACTACATATACTTGATACCAATTTCATTATTTTATACAGAATCCATATAAATTCATATCTTTCATCAACGTTGATTTTATAAATCTGAATACATCATTGTGATCGATATTTTATGACCTTCAATTTGACATTGATATTATAAACACTCAAATTTATGCCAAATATAGTTTTTTTCTGTAAGAAACAATATTGCCAACTTATGAACAAGCCCTAAATCAAGCTATTACGGTCTCCTTCAAAGACTCCAGAGCCACTGCAACTTAACACAGGTAAGCACAAGACAGTAAGCTCCAAAAAGTACTGGGTGACAATAATAGCAGCAGCATAAAGCCATAGACAGGAACCGGTATTCATATGACATAGTAGAGCAGTGTCACTTATAAGGCATGACAAGAGCTTCATGGTCCAAGGTACACAAAAAAAGCAAGAAGCTGTTTTCAGTTGATTGAGGGAATCAATCGTACTTTCACTGCTGTGAACTGTACAATGCAAATTCACGAGAAAAAACAGTCAGATTTTTGGAGCATATTATGCAACGGTTTCTTTATATGTTTTCTATAGCAAAAAGAGTGGTTTGAAGTTTCTCCTCTCATCGCAACCAATCCTTCCTTTAATATTTCTTACTTACCAACTCCTATAACATGAGACCTAAACCAATAGGCATGAGAGAAAACACTAAAACAAGAACTCATTCACTTGATATGGATGATAAGGAATGTCCGTATGACTGCTACCCTCTCCATCCCAAACAAGTTGTAAAACTGAACCTTCAACATCAACCATGCTAAATTTCAACCCACCAATTGAGACAAATACTTCAATCTCTGTGAACTCTGGGTAACGGCCTTTAACTTGGGGAGTAACTGATTCCAATGATGAACTTTACAGCTACAGTGATGTTGGATTTTGTTCTTTGATTCTGTAAGCTCAAGAAAAACTCCAAGTTCTTACTTAAGATTCCAAGGATAAAAGACAACAAATCCTCTATGCTAATGTAAACCATATGCATTCCAATAATCAGTTTACAACATTTCGTGAAAGCATCTAGTCGTGTTATCATATTCCCCATGGAGTTGATCACAACCTCTAACTCTTAAGGTGTCAGTTCATACCATTGCAGCAAAACCAGTACCGCTACCGACTTACAACATTCAATAACCTCCGTAAGTTAGCTACGAATCATTGGTAGCAATCAAAAAACATCATTTCATTCATGTCTTTCCGAATTAAAATATGGAACACAACACGAATTAAACTATCCATCGGAAACTCGGATTAAAAATGAACGCATTGAACTTGATAGCTTCCTGAGTAAATAGGAAGAAGGGTCGATTGTGTATAATAATACCTCAAGGATTTCGGGATTGTTTGGGTCAGACGCTAGGGCTTCATCAAGCTCAGCGATTGAATCTCGTTGTTCTTGTAATTGAAGCTCTAGTTGATCTTCAAGAAGCCTCCTTTCGGCATCGTCCGCCATTATCGTTGTAGGAAACTGAGGATTAAGCAACAAGACCTGCGCTTGATGGAATAGGCTTTTGATTTCCTGAGAACAGTCTCGAGCCCAATATGGCACCAAACCATTTAGGTCGTCCGGTCTAAATATATTTTTATTTAACGGTTTTTTTTTTTTTTCCCTATAAATGGTTTGGTGTAAAATGATTAAGTGGTTAATTTTGGCTGTTGTTAAATGATTTGGTGCAAAATGATTAAGTGATCAAAATAATTAAGAGTCTTTCATGATATAGTGCAAAATGAAATATAATTGTTTGATAATTATTTACAATAAAATTAACGCCACTCAGAATACAAAATCATTCATAGGATTTTAAAATTATTAAGAGGCAGACTTTTTTTATCAAACAAGATTTACCTCTTAATAAGTCAGATATTATCTCTTAATGAAACTATTAAAAGGTAAACAAACAACCCCTTAAAAAACAAATGGTTCTATGGTCGAAGTCGGGGATGGAAACAAGGGCGGATAATACATTCTCGTCCGCGACCCCATTTAAAACCCCATCTTCAATCCCTCCTGGTGATAGGTTCGGAGGGAAGGAATCCTTGTCGGATTTGGAAACTAGTTTAGTAAAACAATATATTTTAAAATTAAATTTATAACAAATCATTATTATATTACTTATTAATATTAAAAATCAAATATATTTGTCATTTAATAATAATTGTATAAAAAATATAAATATACATTTATTTATACACATACTATATACATGTATTAAATAAAATAAAAAAATATAATCGAGGTCGGATTAGGGACGGGTAATGTCATCCCCGTCCCGACCCCACTTCAGGTATAAGATTAAATCCCCGTCCCCACGCCGTTACACGTAAAACGGGGAATCTCGTCAGGATCGGATACCTGCTCCTATAGGTAAAATTTTCATCTCTAGCAGATTGGGTCGTTATTTAAACATGGTTTATTTATTTTTAATCCAACTCAATCCTTCGATTCGAATAGATTTGAGAGGTTATGCTATTCATAAATATAGTCTTTTGTTGAATCTTTGTCACGACTCGATAGATAATTTGATAAGCCAATTATTTTTTTCCGTGTTTTAGAATACAGTTAACCAGAGCTATAAATGAAAAGAAATATCGCTATGGACTCGACGCTCTAAGGTAATTTGTACTCATTTTTTTCTCGTCCGTCTAACTCACTCTCGATACTCTGGGACAATCTGTGTCTGTCTAGCCTATATCGGATGGGGTGTGTTAGAGTCCCACTTTAGATAAATTTGTATTAATTCTCCTCAAATGTCTTGAAAACGGTTATGATGATACAAAAAGGTCACCATTTCATATGGTTACGAATGATACTAAAGGAAGATCACAAAGGTTTGGATTTGTCAATCTGAGTCGCATGATGATGTTAATCATGCAATTCAAAATTGACAAATTGAAACCCTTGTGATTTCCCTTTAGGATCATTCATAATCACATCAACAGTGTGGATATTTTCATATTCTAGAAACTTCTCTTTCACGAGACTTATGTTGAAATCCTCGTCAAGATTTTTCACATACGCATTTGTAAGTTCAGGTTCCTTCCTCCTACATTTCTTAAGAAACATGGCAACAATACAACTTTAGAATGAAAAAAATATTGGAAGACATTAATAACAGTATTACAACCTTTACAGTTTAGGGGTGTTCGTGTGCAGTTTGAAGATTTTCCAAATTACAAACTGCACCGAATACATCTCAAACAGCAAAAAGCCGCGTCACAAAATGCGGCACGGTGTTGTGCGGTTTACATGGTTTCTACCATATACACAAATTAATCCAATAAGTATGGAATCAGAACTTCAAACTAAATTCAACAATGACATTTCCATATTCCATAAAATAAAAACTTATCGTACGGAATACGTTTCGACAATTTAATACAAATACATATGTTTGACCATGAAATCGTGCAGTTTCGATTAGGTTGTGTTAGTATATGGACGAGATTGGACATGATTAATTGGACGAAAATGAGGTAGGGAACTAAAAGGATTATGGTAGGTTGTAAGGTTTTAATCCGATACATGTCTCATCTCCTTGATTATTGTTTCGCTTATTTTGTTGGAACAGAAAAATGTATTTTTGTCTCGCTCAGTTCCATAATGTTCTAATATTGCATCCAACGTAGGAGTTTAATTCCAATTTGGATCGCACTGATTGGTTATTGACCTTACAGTTGAAGAAAGTGGAGTAGGCTTGTTTAGATGTAGTCCTTTTAACGGTTTTATGGGTTATTCAGTTTTATTGAAATGGGACTCTTTATAAGCAATCCCAAACACCCCCTTAATCAAAATGTTCTCACATATCGTGACAATGAAGTGAAGCGGTAGCACAGACCACCATATGCCCTAAGCTAGGTCTGCCCTTGCCTAGTTGTCCGAATAACCACCCCTACCAGCTACCTTGACCTTCTATGGCCTCCATTTTGTAGTGGGACGCGAACCATCAAGTGGTGGTGTGCTCCGGTCACAAGCACGCTAACAAATCAAACCAAACCAAACCAAACCAAACGAGCATATTATATCCCACACAAAGGTAGATTTTTTTTTTTTTTTGTGTGATTAACCTGGATATCCAAGCCACTATGCGAGCCGACTAATCCCACGGCGACCATTTGCTTTGCAAATAGCCCGGAGTCACCGCATTTGAACCTCCGTGGCCACAAGGGGATTTTTATTCCTCCTTGGATTTGAACTTGAGATCTCCTGGTACTTTTGACCTTTGGAGCCAAGCTCAAA